TTTTCTCCGAAATGGTTGGAAGTCAATGGAACAAAGTCCGTACTTGCCAGAAAACAGAAACAGTAGTCGTATTGATGTAGCAAATCAGACACATAACATTGATAGTAGTGATCAAATCACTTGCCACTGTAGTGATGATCAGACACAAAACCATGCTGCTGAGCATCAAAATGACATGCAGCTTCCGAAATATGCATAACATAAAAGATATCTCCACACAAAGCACAGGAGCGGCCAGTTGCCGAAATCAGCAGGACCAAAGCATGCACTGAACATGAAAGATCCAAATAATAAGCCGCGGAAGGGAGTAACTAAACTACTAACCATTTCAACAACTAAAATACCACAAATTCTCACGAAGGAATCAGCATTTCAAACTGCAACCATGCCTTAATAATAACAACGCAAACTGAAAGTCAGCAGGGGTGAACATGAACACTATAACAGTACTATATAGCAACAGCATAGACCACACCATTGTTTACAACATCACATGACGCTCAAGATAGCATAACAAGCACCAAGTGACGAAGTGCTACTTCAGACATACAAAGTGTTCGGTTCTACTAGTACTAAAAAGTTCGTACAGCATAGACACTCCATAAGCACAGCAAACAGCTAGTCGAAATCATTAAGATGGAGCCTGGCATCTTATAGCACCATGACGAATGGAGGCTCCTTGTTCACAGCATCTTCTTCCTGCGCCTCAAACAATGGGACTGAAATCATGCTCTCTTGGAGGCGCTGCATAGTTAGCATAAAGTGGTTCCCAGGCTCCTTGGTTCCCACATATCCTAAAAACACACCATCAATGTCACAATGCAACAGACGGCCAACACACTGCTCGATCAACAGCTCACGCTCATTGATCACAGCCATCCTATGGAGAGTATTGAAGGCAAACTTAAACGGTGGCAATGCCTCCATTGCTGACAAGTTAAACCGGTACTGAAATCCCCAGGTTTCAGCATCATAGTCCCGCAACAACCAAACATCTAAATTGACACAGTCATTGGTGGTGCAGCACAAGGCAAGGGAACCGCCCATAACCAACAATGTCACCTTATCACCTAACTGTGCTGGGCGGCTCATCTGCCAGAATGTCTCGGGCTCTCGGCTACGGTGTCAAATACTGTTATGCTGAAGCCTGTTGCCCAATGCAGGCAAGCACGATCATGCACTGGTGGAGAAGTGTAGGACAGGGTAGATGGATACCCATGTTTTGAAACTATCGGCCATTGGATGCATCTTGGCTGGTCCGATCCCACTGTGAGGACGAAGTAATCAGGCAACTCAGTTGGGACGGCAGCCCCAATGAATACCAAGAACAGCACTTGTTTTGAGTATGACACCCAGAGAACACGGTGTTCACCAGATGTGTGGAGCCGGTAGAAGCCGACTACGTCGACGGTGCTGGTGCGTGACCGTCGTGGAGGATGTGGCAGGGAAGCACACTTGCGGGTGGTAGGGTTGCAGATGTAGAAATTGGATTGCTTCTCCAGGATGAGGAGGCCATCACAAGCAGCATGACATAGAGTCATCTCGTTTGTAAAGGGATCTGCGTGCCGGAGGACACGCTATATCTTTTGATCAGTAGGGGATCCGACATGGCGATAGATGCCCTCTATGTTTCGGATGATGGGGAGCGAGGGCTGGCGGTGGTGGTGGTTGAGGATGAACGCGTTGGTGGAAGTGCCGCTGCGCCACGACTTGCGGACGGCACGGCAGCGGAGTATACATCCTTGGCCGGCAGCCGGACAAGGATCTCCTCAACGACAAGCCACTCGGGCAGGTCGTCGAACACGGTCACGCCGCTGCTTTTCGGCATGCTGATTGCTACTCGTAGCTGTTAAGAAAAAAAGAAGAAGCAAACACATGAAGAAGAAACGTGATTTACTAAAAATGACTGTGGTGAAACTTCCGAGTTTGGTCACTCTCCCCTTTTTATGGTGGACCGTTAGATTTATCAGCCGATTCTTGCTGCCATTACTTTGGTCAATCTTTTTTATGGTGGATCTTCAGATCTATGCAAGTGGATCGATTTTTGTGTTTGAACTTGTTGTTCCCAATACCGTGCACTAACAAATTGTTGCGCCATTTGACGCCAAGACATGCATGCATTTGTGTGCAGGTGTCAGGTGTGCGTGCTGGGCAACGAATCAGATCTAAAATTTTGTTGTACTCCCTCCGTAACATCTACACGTATCTGAAAGGTAAAAAGCTACTTACTGTAAAATATATACAGATCTAAAATGACTAGATCTAAAAAGGGGCATTCTATTGAGCTCAAGCTACAGCAGTTTCATCCGTGCGGAGCGGCCTTTGTAAAAGAACCGCTTCGGCGATCTGTCCGCTAAACTGAGAGAATGGGAGGAGAGAGCCGAGAGGATTTACTCTGGAGCGGCGATTTCCGGCGGCGTGGCGACGGTGTTCCGTTCCCGGCGGCGTCTCTGGACTGACGATCTGGCGGCGAAGCAGTGGGTCGAATGAGAAAGGGAAAAAAGGAAGACAAAATGGGGGCGAAGGAGACTCACCGGTCACAACGCACGGCTGAAATCTTGTCTTGGTTGGAAGACAACATGAGGGGAAGAAGGCGATGAGCGGGCGCGGAGTCTTCTTGGCGAAGCAGGCGTAGTAAAGGAGGAGGAGGATGGGTGGTGGGAAACTTGCAAGCGGCCGATGGGACTAGACGAGCTGTGGTGGTAGCCTTTTAGGTTTGCTGCTGCGTAGGCTGGAATTCATGAGGGAGAAGGGAAAGCATCGCTTTGACAGAAACGACGTGGAGGACACGAACCAGTAGACTAGATTGATGGATGGATCCGTTCCATCTTTAATCTTCCTGATGCATAGGTCGAGGGTCATCCTTTTTTTCTAAAAAAAATAATCAGATATCAGAAATAACTTAAGAATGTTGAAGTTGCAATAGTATACCCATCTATGGCCCTAGGTGTTTTTCTTCGTGTAGTTTGCCTGTTACCGATGTACAAGCTCCAACTCTTCTTCTTGGATTCAGTCTTCTGGGCTCTAATCCTCCTAATTGTTAGCAACGGGCTAGGATCTCTCTCTATTGACGAACATCACTCGGATCTGTAGCTCTAATTCGAATTTACAAGCCGGGAGAAAGGAGGAACAGAGTTACAAGCAAACGGCAGACTGCCGTGCCAAACTAGCCCACCCTCACAAGGAAGCTGCTCTCCTAATTTATCCTACCTCGTGGTCCATTCCTTGCCAGCGTAGCGCGTGGATGGGCGCCTGATCCTCCCGTGGGCCCCGGCGTCAGTGGAAGACCTTGGCTTGTTGACTGGGTCTTGGCTGCCCTGGTCGTCATCCTCTGTAGCCGGCTCGGTGATGCTAACACTCAACTTGGTCTCTTAGGATGGATTAGACGGAGCTTTGGGCGCATATTCCTTTCAGCTTCCACAAGGTTAGGCTTTCTCGTCGTGCATACGCGACAACGAGATTTGGTATCGGGTTCTTCAAATCAATTCAAGGGTTCCACGGCGACCATTGTAGCTCAAGGGCACTGGTTCTAAGGGGCACGCGCACAGACGTTTTCCGCTGTCGTCGACAAAGTCAGACCGTCTTCCTGGATGCAGAAGTGGTGTTCAATGGTCCATGGTTCTCGATATAACTTTTATTATATTTAGGGTCTTTTGTGTTTCTGGTGTGAACCTTCACAACCATGAACCATCCTTGTCAAAAAAAAGAGGTTTAGTATGATGGCCTCGATCTTTATTTATCTCGTGTTGAACGGGGTTAATGGTTCTGCAGGTCACTGGTGGAGGAGATGGGTCTGAACGCATCTGTCCATCTATCTGTTGGTTCATCTCTTAATACGAGCGCTTCTTCTCTCCCCTCATCAGTTCCACCCTACGCAGCAGCAGCACAGCTACTTTCTGCTCGTCCTGTCCCATCTTCCACAGCTTGCACCTGGCAATGGCAGAGGGCGGTGCGCACCGCGATCCAGTTTCACACCGCCCGTCCTCTTCCTTGCACGCTCACCACCAGACTCTCCCCCCTCGTTTCCCATCCGAGGTTGCTCGCCAAAGTGCCTTCTTCCCCCCGGACGCCTGCCCTCCATAGACGCCCGTGTTGGGCAATAAGCCGTGGCGAGCCCGGGACGCGGTGTGTGTGCGTACGTTAGTTAGCGCGTGTGTGCGCGGACCAGTTAGCGTAGGACCAGGGCGAAGGCCGCGTAGGGCGCGCGAAGTGGCCGCGGCGATCGCGTCAGAGCGCGATGGGCGCGCGCGAGCCAGGGCGTGCGGGGCGTGGCGAGTGGGAGGTGGGCAAGCCGTGGAGCAGCTCGGGCATGTCCGTGCGCACGAGTATAAAGCCCTCTCCCCCCTGTGTAAGTCGCTGAGGATTTCGAGTTCGTGCTCTAGGTGAAATACAGTGAGGCCGTACGTGCGGCGGGGGTGTTCGAGCACCCGGAAAAACTCTCTGTCCATCTTCCTCCTCGCCGATCGTGTCTCCGGTGATCTCCGTCGAGTGCTCGATCTGGTTCGGCGCCAACAGCCCGCAGGAAGACCGTCGCCCTCGCTCGACCGTGCCGGCTCCGAAGCAGAGTAAATCCTCTCGGATCTCTTCGTCCATTCTCTCCTCTCTGCTCCTCTAAGCCGGTAGATCGGCGAAGCGCTTCTTTCTTGCGCCAAATCCGTCGCTTTGCTTGCTAATCTTTGCTTTCCTTATTTCTCGTACTAGTATCAGCGAGGAATCAGCATGCCGGGCAGCCACGGCGCGACCGTGTTGGACGACCTGCCGGAGTGGCTCGTCGTCGACGAGATCCTCGCCCGGCTGCCTGTCAAGGACGTGTTCCGCTGCCGCGCCGTCCGCAGGTCGTGGCGCAACGGCACATCCACGGACGCCTTCATCCTCGGCCATCACCGCCGTCAGCCCGCGCTGCCCATCATCGAGCACGAACTGGGCATCAAGCGCGTCGCCTCCGCCTCTAGTGGTCAGAAGATACGGCCCCTCTCCGGTACGCAAGCCTCAACATAGGCATGCGCTTCATAACCTGTGATGGGCTCCTCATCTTGTGGTGGGGTTCAGATTTCTACATCTGCAACCCGGCCACCCGCAAGTGCGCCCCGCTGCCGCATCCTCCACGAGAACAGTTCATCAGCCCCATCACCGGAGTCGACGTGCTCGGCTTGTACCGGCACCAGCCATCTGAAGAATACCGGGTGCTCTGGGTGTCCTACGCCTCGCTCATGGGGACATCATTTCCATTCACCGCTTGTCAGGTTGAGCAGCCTCATTACTTTGTCTTCACCGTGGGATCGGACCAGCCAAGACGCATCCAATGGCCGACAGTTTCAGAAGATTGGTGTCCTGCTGCCCGGTCCAACCATCCACCCATCCACCATCGTGGTAGCCTCCACAGGGCAATGGGTTGCAGCATAACGGTATTCGACACCATAGCCGAGACATTCCGGCAGATGAGCCGCCCGGCACAATTGGGCAGTTTCGTGTTATTATTGGATACGGGCGTCAACCTTCCTTTGTATGTCAGCACCGACCATGACCGCGTCACTTTGGATGTTTGGGTCTTGCATGACTATGATGCAGAGACCTGGGGGTTTCGATACCGGATTAACTTGTTAGCGATGGAGGCATCTCCACCGCTTAAGTTGTGGAAATCTATCCCTAGGCTGGCTGTGATCAATGAGCGTGAGCTGTTGATGGCGCAGCGTCCTCGTCGTCTGTTGCATTGTGACATTGATGGTGTGTTTTTAGGAAATGTAGAAAGTGAAGAGCATGAGAACCGCTTGACACTTTCTTGGCATCGCTTCCAAGAGAGCATGATTTCAGTCTCACTGTTTGAGGCGCAAGAAGAAGAAGATGCTGTGAGCAACGAGCGTCGTCCATTCATCATGGTGCTATAAGATGACATGCTCCATCTTAATGGTTTGGACTAGTTATTTGTTGTGCCCCTGGTAGTATCTATCATGTATGTGTATGAACCTTGCATTATGTTCTATGTTCTTACTTTTTAGTACTACTACTAGTAGAACCGAACACTTTGTATTTCTGAAGTAGTACTCTAATATCATCATTTCATATGTGTCATGTTATCTTCAACGCCGTGTTAATATATGTTACGAACAATGGTGTGTCTATTGCTATATAGAACTGTTGTACTATTCTCCTGAGTTCAGTTTCAATTTGCATTGTTAAAAGTGACGAATGTCATGGTTGCAGCTTGAAATGCTAATTCCGTAGCTAGAACTTATGGCATTTTAGTTGCTGAAATGGTTACTTCAGGTACTCCCTTATGTAGCTTAATATTTTGATCTTTCATGCTCAGTGCAATCGAGTATCTATGCTCTGGAAGTGTTCTGATGTTCCCCCCTGTTTACTTTCATTTTGCACTGTTAGAAAAATCACGGAAGGCATGATTGCAGTTTGAAATGCTACTTCCTTCACGAGTAGTTATGGCATTTTTGCTGCTGAAATTGTTGGTCCAGGTACTCACTTATGTAGCTCAACATTTTGATCTTTCATGTCCAGTGCACAGTTGATTTTGGCACCTGGACGCTCCTGTTCTTTGTGCGGAGATTTTTTTTTGTTTTTTTTTGAAAAGGAGGATAACCCCCGGCCTCTGCAGTTCTTTGTGTGGGGATGTCTTTTCCTAGGCACATTTCAGAAACTGCATGTGATTTGGTGCTCAGCGGCATAGTTTTATGTCTGATTGTTACTATGGTGGCAAGTAATTCGATCACTGCTACTACCACTGTTATGTGTCTGATTGCTACTGCAATACGACTATTGTTTTTGTTTTTTGGCAAGGATGAACTTCGTTTTCGGAGAATAGAGATTGGCTGTTGGTTTGTGTGCAGGTTTTTTTTTGCGGGGTAGGAACAAGTTATGAGCTCTAGTGATTGACTTTCACTAATTGGGAGCAAAAAGGTTGCTAGTTTCTATGACCAGGATTTTTGTGCAAGGCTGTTCTTCCATGGCTTTTTGTTTTTGTTCATCATGATGTTTCCATGGTTCTGTTGCTTCTATTTTTGCCAAAGAAAAGGACCAGGTGAATTTGCTATTTTCTGGAAGTACAGACTTTGTTCCATTGACTCCCAACCATTTCGGGGAAAAGAGCTTGGCTTTTGGTTTTGTTTCCAGGTTCTTTTTGGGGGGTAGGAAATGAATTAGTTATGAACTTGATTGATTGACTTTGACCAGTTGGAATATAAATCTTGTAAGTATTGCTAGCTGGGCTTTTTCTTTCCTGCTGCTTCAGTGACCGGATTTGTGCTGGCTGCCTTTTTCTTTTCTGCAAGGCTGATGTTACATGTCTTTGTGTTTCTGTTCATCATAGTGGAACCTGGTCCTGTTCCTTTTATTTCACCCAAAACAATGGACCAGGTAAATGTGCTAATTCTTTATCTGGATGAAGATTTGTAGCTTGCATGGTGACAGTTTCACCATGATGTTTCCATGGCCGATTCAGACGGCGATAGTTTCCACAGCAACACCTGAAGATGTATATAATAAAAGAACTTAAACTTACAAAAAAAAGAAAAGTTCAGAAAAATGCGCATCCAGGGAATCGAACCCTGGTCAGTACCGTGGGAGGGTACTATGATACCACTACACCAGATGCGCTTTGGTGGTGTTACTTTTTTGGTGTCTGTAACTGGATGGTAGAGCATTCAGATCTGCAAAGCAAAAAACAAAGAAAAAGAATGGAGAAGTGGGGTATCCATCCCCATACCTCTCGCATGCTAAGCGAGCGCTCTACCATCTGAGCTACATCCCCTTATTTGATCTCTTAAATTAATACGCCTAATTAACCAAATGGTAATTTACG